TATATGTTTGTTGTTGGTTTTTTTACATTGTTTACTCTATTTTTTTATTTTTTTTCCCAGAACTTTTTATTGGGTCCCTGGAACCCAGTTTAAAATCCCCTGTTTTAAGCCCACAAAAATCGAGTACGAGCACAGGATGAAACAATGTTGTTAATAAATACCAGTAGTGTTTTAATGAGCAACCACATAATTGCATGACACTTATGAGTCTTTAGAATCCAAGTATTAAGTGGAACAGGCCTTTGCTAGTTCCCAAATTTATATTCACGGTGTACTGATTCTCAACAGAGAAAACTAGGAAGCGGAGTGAAACGAAGCGAGTGCAGTTTTAAAAAAGCACAGCTATGTTTGAAATCAAGCCTAGCTGGAAAGGTCACATTCATGTACTTAATGTAACCTTTGAAATGTTTGTTTTCATTCAGTTGGGGATCGCCATAGGCTTCCTTGTTCCACCAATACTAGTTCCAAATGTGGACGATCTGGACGAGTTAGCGGCTCACATCAGAGTCATGTTCTACATCACGGCGGGAGTGGCCACCTTCCTGTTTGTGTTGGTTGTCATTGGTAAGCGCAAATGTCAATTATACTATTGTTATTGTAGTCTTGTTATTTTGGCAGCATGCTTAAATTAAATAGATTGTGAGTCTATTTTGTGGCATGGGGAGTTGCTGCCTATGTATAGAGTTTCAGTAATTTAAGAGGTTCAGTGAAGATTCGGATGCAGCATAAAGCGAGATTGCTCACCAGGTTTGGGGTGTTGATTGTCTTTTAGTGTCTGTCTGTTCCTCTTTTTGATGAGTCTCATGCTGTTCTTCGTCTTGCATGTACATAGACAAATTTTGTGTATAGTTTATACACAACCTAACATATAAATGATTGTTTGTTGGCACATAACGCCTGTTATTTTGTTAGTCTGCTTGTACGAGTGTAAATGGAGTTTGTTAGTGCTAATGATTATCTCACATTTAGCCCAAATGACAGAAGGGGAAATTAGTTTTTTTTTTTTTCAGTTTTAACCCATTTTGCGCTCTCTCTTTTTACTCTTTATATGCTCTTCATTCAGCTGTTTAAATGCTGAGCCGCCCATTTTTATCTTGACAAGGCCACAAAACCTCCTGTCACATTCTGAGCAACACTCACGTGCATTCAGTTCTGTTCTCACAAGCAAAAATGCTTGTCTAGATAATTGAATAAAGAAAATCACAAGACATTTTAAAGTGTTAAAGGGACAGTTCGGCCAAAAATTTACACACTGTCTTTTTCTAAACCTGTATGACTTTTTCTTTCATTGAACACAAAATTACTTTTTTTTTTTGGAAAACAAATGCCCTGTTAAGCACTAAATAAAACGTTCAATACAAGCAACGTGAAAGTTGTGCATACTATTTGTGCACTATATTTAAAGTCTGTCGGTCATAGTCATATGTTGTACTTTCATAATACTTTTTGTAATTGTTTGAGTTTCCCTCCCTATTTACTTTCATTGAATAGCAATGTACACCTGGGGTTTTCTGCTAAACACCCCCTTTTGTGTTCAATGCAATAAAGAAAGTCATGTTGGTGAGTTAAATCATGACAATTTTTATTTTTGGGTGAACTGTTCTACCAATTTCCCTCAAAATAACCACTTTAGCTGGTCAGTTATGTAACTTTAGTTAAGAACACACACAGCAGATTCTAGTGTTTCTGTCTGATAGCTCTACAACTTAAATCCTGCT